GAGAGAGGAGAGTCGGAGGACCAGAGAGAGAGGGAGCGGAAGAGAGAGGAGAGAGAGAGAGATAGGATGAGAGAGAAGAGAGATGGAAGATAGAGAGAGACGAGGAGAGATGAAGGAGAGATCAGAGAGAGAGCAGAGAGAGAGAGGAAAGGAGAGGGAGAACGGAGAGATGAGAGAGAGAGAGAGAGGAGATAGAGAAGAGCGGACAGGAGAACGAGGGAGAGAGAGAGGAGAGAGAGAGGAGAGAGAAAGGGAGAGAGGATGATCAGGGACAGCAAGGGCGAGAACAGCGGATCGAGGAGGAGAGGCAGAGATGACGCGAGAGAGCATGACCAGACTGAGACGCAGGATGACTGAGCATGAAGAGAGTAGAGGTCATCGGAAGGAGAGCACGAGATGACATGATAGAGCGCCGGAGAGAGAGAGAGAGAGAGAGAGAGAGAGACAGAGCGGCTTGCGCGTATTCATCGACTTTGCCGCACTTCGTTGCTAAGTAGCGTTTTTAGAGCGTTTCAGAGCGTCTTTATCGCAACGTTAATTAACTAGAGCCGCCTGTCAGCCATTACGCCAGTGGTTCTTAACCTTTTTGGCCCCACGACCCCATCAGACATTCTTGGTCAGTACCATGAACTCCGAAACAAATATATTTTTGTAAACCAGCCCGATTTATATAGAATTTAAATGGAGTTTCATTTATGACAGATTCATGACCCCCGGGAAAACCGCAAGCGACCCCCAGGTTAAGAACCGCTGCATTACAGGATGAGGCGAATTTCTCGTCCCTGCGCCTACGGACGCTTGTAGTCTTCCAACTGATTACCTATAGCTATACCTGCCAATTATTACAGGTAAATCACTCTATACCTGCGTGTACAAGTACTTGAAATCTTCCTACCGATTACCTGTAGCTTACCTGTCAATGATTACAGGTAAATTACTCTATACCTGCGTGTACACGTCGTTGTAGTCTTCCTACTGATTAACTATAGCTACCTATCAATCATTGTGGGTTAAGGTCATTGTAAGGTCAATCACACGTACCTGCGTGTACGTGGTTGTAGTCTTCTAACTGATTACCTATAGCTATACCTGTCAATGATTACAGGTAAATTACCTGCGTGTACAAGTGATTGTAATCTTCTAGTCGTATGGCGCCTTCGCTGGTGATCATGACCATCTGTGGAATCTGCGAGGCGCTCATCCCTTCTGGTACGTCACTTCCGGCGCACCTACAGTCAGGAGGTCGGCATGTGTCTGGGTCGCATAGCGGAGCTGCGAGCAAGGAGATTAATAATTAAAAATACAGTTTTAATTAACATTTAAAGAGGAAAGTGTAGGCGGTTAGAATCGTCAGTAATATTAACAATTAACAGCGAGTTACGAGTTTAGTTGATCTTCTTAATTGCGACTGAAATGTATTTCGATTTTATTATGCGAGCAAGAAGATTAACAATTAAAATTAAATTTTTAATTAACATTTAAAATAACAGTTAACAGCGTAGAGTACTTCTTCGTGTATATTTTTTACATAAAGATTTGTGAAATAAATCTACACATAACAATCTACCATAATACATAAAGATTTTCTACGTAAAAAACACACGTTTTCTCAGAATCAATGTGCGTGTATAATTATTCCTTTTCTACTTCTATAATACTTGTTTCTGTATTTATTTATTTATTTATTCATTTAAATATATATAATTAAACCTCCTAAATCGTATACACAGGGCGTGATTACAACAACTTTACCGCAACCACTACGATCTTACAACCATATATTTACCTACACACGTTACCATGAACTTACACACACGTGCGCACACACACACAATAACTACGATCTTACAACCATATATTTACCTACACACGTTACCATGAACTTACACACACGTGCGCACTCACCAGCGCTAAGAATTTTACGACCATAAGCATGCGGATGCAAAGTAACGTAACGTAAACCCGACTTCTCAACAACAGAATTATGGTAAATAGAATAATAAAATGGAAAATAGATCTCGCGCGAATCGCTGGTGCGGGACATATATGCAAAATTATCGCAAACATGACCAT